GAAGCCAGGTCTCTCTTTCCCTGGCCTGCCAGTGTTATATACCAAATGACATCTGTATATAAAGACCTAAAAAGCCCTCTGTGCCCTGCCCCCTCACATCTCCCCACAACACACACACACTTCCTACAGCTTCCCCTCTCCTGTCTCTCCAACATCTTACCTTCCTTGTTGTCTTTCAAAAATACATCATGAGAGCTGGAGAGATGACTCAGTGGTTAAGAGCACTGACTGCTCTTCCAGAGGTCCTGAGTTCAATTCCCAGCAACCACATGGTGCCTCACAACTATCTGCAATGGGATCTGACGCCCTCTTCTGGTGTGCCTGAAGACAGCGACAATATATTCACATATATAAAATAAATCTTAAAACAACAACAACAAACAAACCATGAATTTCTTACTGCCATTCTAGCTCTTCTTCTCCTTAGCATTTTTTTTAACATTTATTTTGTGTGTGTCCGTGGGAACCTAGAGGACAACTCACAGGAGTTGGTTCCACACTGTGGGTTCTGGGAAAGGAACTGAAGTCAAGCTTAGTGGCAGGTGTGCTTACCCACTGAGCTATCTTGTTGGCCCCTCCTTAGCGATTTTAAGTAGCTGGTATCTCTAGCTAATTCCTTGCCTGTCTCTTCCCACTGAGGAAAAGGGTTTTTGTTTTGTGTTTTGTTAAATGCCCAACATCTATCCCAGCTGACCCGAACCATCATGAGTAACTAGGAGCTGTCTTTCTAGAGTCTCTGTGTGCAAACATCAGCTATTTTTGTAGCCTCTGGCCCCGTCTTGACCATATTCTGAAGTCCTTGCTGGGGGGTTGGAGTGACTTAGGGAAATGACCTGGTAGAAGGAAGTGGGGAGCGGCATTCTACAGACACGAGTAGATCAGAATCTTCTTGGAAAGTTACAAAGAAGGTTATTGTAAGGGGATGAGCACAGAAAGCTTTAAAGAAAGAGCTGTCACTCTTTGGGGATGATGATACCAGGCCCTAGTCCAGGATGGATAGGCTGGACTTGTACACACACATGGCTGGGTTTCTAATCCTTGTTCTCCAGATCCTGACTCGGCACAGAAACGAGTTCTGCCTGTCCCCAAACTGTCCTGAGCTCTGTAGAGAGCAGAGTGTGGACTCCCCCGGCCACTACCCTCTCCCTTACATTCCTTCCTCCCAAGGTCACATTTCAAGGTCATTGGGTCAGGAAGAGCCCAGCTCTCATTTCTACCTGCTCCCTTCCGATGCTTTCCCTCCAGCACTGCTAACCCTATCCCAACAAGCGAAGCCCCAGACCACTCACCACCCTGGTGTTACATCATTTCCAGTGACAGGAGTGTGAGAATGTAATGTCCCCACAGCATGCCTTTCTCTGGCCCTGTGCCTACATCTTCTTTCCTTACATTGCTTCAGGCTATCAGTCAACAGACATGGTTGAATCGCATATCCTAATTCCAGTACAGAAATGGGCAGAAACAGGGTGTCGAGCTTGTTATAGGAGAGCTAGGGACTGAAGATATAAATGATTCCAAACCAGCCTCTTTCCCAACCTTCCCTGTAGGAACTGGCAGGAGCCAGCTCTCAGGTCGCTGACATCATCAGCACCCTCTGTCTGCCCATCCCACTCTCCTCCCCCCACGCCTCCCCCACCTTGCTGTCCCTTGAGGATCATTGGCCTCTATGCTATAAACCATTTGAGACCTGGCATTTTCACAGGGTGGCAAAGGGAAAAATGGCTGAGTCTGAGGGGCTTAGGGCTGATCTTGAGACAGTATGACATGGCAGAACCCTCTCTTTTTAGGAATCACTGGAAGAAACGCTCTGTACATCTCGGCTTTATTGATGCCAGAATGGCTGTTGCCACGGCAGCAGAGCATCCTCCCTACAGAAGAGGATGGTTGGGAAACACTGGGGATATGAAAAGAATAGGAAAGAGTGAGATAGAGGTGTGCTTGGGAGCCTTGGAGTATTCCAAGATGCCAAGCTGGTGTGTAAAGGGACCACTACCTGGATATGGCAAGATCTTTTATTTTTTTATATTTATTTATTTATTTATTTATTTATTTATTTATTTATTTATTTGGTTTTTTCGAGACAGGGTTTCTCTGTGTAGTCCTGGCTGTCCTGGAACTCACTCTGTAGACCAGGCTGGCCTCGAACTCAGAAATCCGCCTGCCTCTGCCTCCCAAGTGCTGGGATTAAAGACATGCACCACCACCACCCAGCGCAAGATCCTTTAAACACAGCAGGAAGACTGCTCTCAAGAAGCCTGGCAGTGAGGCAATTTGTGACATTGTGTATAGATAGTATTTTATATCTCAGAAACTGACAGGTGATGTGCTGTGTGGGAGGGAGGGGGACCCCAGGCTTAGAAGGTAGAAAGGGGCAGTGCCTCTCTTCTGGTAAGAACAGATAGCGACCTGATTTCAGCCAAAAGGCTGAGGAGTGATCTTCCCTTCATCTGGTCTGCCTTCTTCTGAAGAGAAGCAGAATTTCAGGGGCTGTTTACTAGAGGAAGGGAAGGGACTTGAGATTTGGGGAATACGATATCCCATGAGAGACAAGCTAGAGGAACAAAGAGGATACAGAGAAGAGGAAGAACTAAGCTGACACACGGGATCAAGTGAGGGAGTGAGACAACGGTGGCGGAAGGAAGGTCAGGTCCCGGGGCAGTGGGCATCCGGAGCAAAGAAAATGCAGGTGGACAGAACGACTCATGGAATAGGGCCTCACAAAGTGCTGAAGGCTTTCCTACAGATAGAGACATCAGAGGGGAAGGGCTAGGTCAAGCCACGGGTATAGGCTAAAGCAGTAGACATAAGTGGATGGATGTACATAGTGTTATTCAGTCAGGACAGCAACCAGAGGAGAATTTATATGCTGGGGGGGGGGGGGACTATCAATAACAACCAAGAACTCGGTCAAACAGCCCACAGGCCTCCTTTGATTTCCAAATTGCAATTTTTAGAGAAAGCAACAGCCCCATGTGATTGAGTCAGGGCAATATTGTATAAATTATAGAATGGCAGATAGATAAGACCGAGAAATTTTAAAATGATGGTTTTTCCATAATCCTAGCACTCAGGGGGCTGAAGCAGGAGGACCCCAAGATCCAGTGGCTTGTGACGCTATTACAAGTCGTCTGTGGGATCAGAGACACTCTAGCGCTTACTTGAACTAGAAGCTAATGTTCAGGCATAAGCATGAGTGTTTGTGTGTCCTGTGATAGCTCATAGTCTAGCTGGAGAGTCCTCAACATTCCTTTGACCAGATTCAAATTTCTCATATCCTACATGGTCTTACAGGCTTGGCTCCACCTCTGAGTTTTCCAAGATCTGGACTTAGGGCCTTTGAGCACAGTCGGCCTGGTGAATCTCAACACCCAGGCCTCTGCCTGCACTCTGAGGCAGCACTTCTTGTCATTGCTGTTCCTAGAGCACAACATATCCATGCCCACTTTCCTGAGATAAGTGCTCGACACTACATTTTCACATCGACAAAGTTATTTCCCCAAGTTTTGGGTTGTCTGCCTTGTATCCCCAGCAGACATTAAGTTCCTTAAGGGTAGACTCTCTCCATCTTTCTCTGGATCTCCAAGGTCAGCTAAAAGTCCAACAGTTCTCTCGCCAAGCACCTCTCTGTCCAATAACCCCAATCCCAGCACTGCTAGACACAGCCTCTCTGCTATGACTCTCAATCTAGCCCTGGGGTCATGGAAGTTAGAATAGCCTGGGTTCTGGTCAGCACTCAGTGTCCAGCATTCAGGCATCAGTGTTTGAGTCATTAATACCTATTCTGGGCTAGTGTGGCACTTGGAAAGCTCCTATGATCATGGGACAGACATATCCAGGACCTTTTTCTTTGCAGAATTGATTCTGCAGCTCTGCCAAGGAATCTGTGCTGACTCTCCTCTGCACTCTTAGTGTCCCAAATCCCTTTTACCTAGGAGGCTACAACCATTGTAAGAGCAACAGAGGTTCAATGACTTTGACAAGGTCATGTGATCATGTGGAGTGGAGACTCAAGACTCCTGCTCCCAAGGGTTAGCTTCTTCAACTCCTCAGTTCCCCTTTGCTGTCAACCCTAGGCCCTGTCTAAAGCATTCTGTCCTGTTCTGTGTCCCTTACCTCCTGGGCTTAGGAGGGCAAACTATATCTTAGAGTCTGAAGAGAATTTCTGAGGGAAACCAAACGGTTTGTGAGAGCTTCCCTCAGGCTCTGCCAGTTTCTACCCAAGAGCTACAGGGCCACTCTTTCTCCTGGGTCTCAGACACCCTTTCCCAGTACCTTTACCTGGATTCCCTAAGTCTCCCCTCCTCCACTCATGCTTTTTTCCAGATGCAGCAGGGAACCTTCTACCCCATCTCTCTGTAGAAAGCAAGGAGAAAAACTGGTGGGATCCTCTCCTTGCCCCTGGGGCTCAGCTCACAGACACCTCCCCCTCCCGAGCCAGAAATAGACACACTCTCTCCCCTACCTCCCTCCCCCTTGCGCACACTCCACCCCTCCTCCTGTTTGCTCCCCGCCTCCCCCTCCCCTCTTTCGCTGGGAGCTGCAGCCTGCAGCCTCTCCACGAGCTGGAGGGAGGAGTGTAGAGAGGGCGCTGCCTGGGAGTGTGCAGCCCGCAGCACCGATCGGTCAGCCGCGGGACCGAGACGAGATCTCAGCATCGCAGCACGTCCCGGCTTCGATGGAGCCGCTGATCTTCTATCGTTCCTTTGACTGATTTAAATTTTTTAATTTATATTCTCCCGCCCCGCCCCTTTTCCTTCGACCCCGCCCCATCAACCCGCTATTTCCTTCCCTTTTCCTCTTCCCGGGCTTCCTTCTCTGCGTTTCTTTCCCCTTCGTTCTCCGCTCGCCCCCTTGCTCCCTCCCCTTCCTCTCCTCTTCCTCCGCGGTTTCTTCCGTCCTCCTCCCCCCCATTCCGCCCCCTCCTCTCCCGGCGCTCCCGCCCCCTCCCCCGCCCCGTGCCTGCAGACGCGCGGATCGTCCATGCGCTCCTCGCAGGCAGAATGCTGGGCAGCAGCGTCAAGAGCGTGCAGCCCGAGGTGGAGCTGAGCGGCGGCAGCGGCAGCGGCGGCGACGAGGGCACGGACGAGCCTCGGGGAGCCAGCAGAAAGGCAGCCGCGGCGGACGGCAGAGGCATGCTGCCCAAGCGCGCCAAGGCGGCAGGCGGCAGCGGCAGTATGGCCAAGGCCAGTGCAGCGGAGCTGAAGGTCTTCAAGTCCGGCAGTGTGGACAGTCGTGTTCCCGGCGGGCTGCCTGCCTCCAACCTACGCAAACAGAAGTCGCTCACCAACCTCTCGTTTCTCACGGACTCCGAGAAAAAGCTGCAGCTGTATGAACCTGAGTGGAGCGATGATATGGCCAAGGCGCCCAAGGGTTTGGGCAAACTGGGGCCCAAGGGCCGCGAGACTCCTCTGATGTCCAAGACGCTGTCCAAGTCTGAGCATTCGCTCTTCCAGCCCAAAGGTGGCCCTACGGGCGGCGCCAAGACCCCACTGGCTCCGCTAGCGCCCAGCCTAGGCAAACCTAGCCGGATTCCTCGGGGACCCTATGCGGAGGTCAAGCCTCTCAGCAAGGCGCCTGAGGCAGCAGTAAGCGATGATGGCAAATCGGATGACGAGCTGCTTTCCAGCAAGGCTAAGGCGCAAAAGGGCTCAGGGACTGTGCCCTCTGCCAAGGGCCAGGAGGAGCGGGCCTTCCTCAAGGTGGACCCCGAGCTTGTGGTTACCGTGCTGGGCGACCTGGAGCAGCTACTCTTCAGCCAGATGCTAGGTAAGTCTTGCCGCCCCGCCCCACCCCGCCCCTGGCTTTCTCCTGGCCAGCTGCAGAGAGAGGTAGCTTTTTCTCCCCTCTATACCGATCACTGGCTAGGTTAGGAGGGGCATTGCTGCCCAGATGTGCAGAGCTGGCCTACCTCCAGCTGTGTCTGGCTAACGGTGTGTCTTAAAGATGTCGCTGATGGGAGCCTGGGCTCTGCTGTGGCCTGTTAGAAGTGAGGGTGGACAATGGGGACGGGGGACTTGGGTGCTCAGAAATCATTAGCTTCCTTGAATTTTGAAGTTCATAGTCCTAATATGGCAAACCACGGTGAGGCTGGTAGAAACATGAGCTGAGGAGTGGTCCGTGCTGGATAACACAGCATTCTGCATTTCTAGGGAAGCATCGTTAAGAGCCCAGATCTAGAGCAAAGATGTGGGGAAAGCAGATGTGAGGGCTAGTTGGTCCTTGGAGCAGAGCTGAGGCTCCACTTCCTCTGTGAATCCCGGGTGGGAGCTTGAGTTGGATTTCCCCCGGTGTGGGGGACCTGGCAACACGAAGTGTCTGGGGCCAGGGAGGCGGGCGGGCAGCCAGCTGTGTGCATCTGGATACACGTCTTTAACCCCCAGCCCCAAGCAGTCACTCCATCCCCCTAAATGTTTTAGGGAAAGGTCTGGGCTTTTGCAAGGAGACTCCCGAGAAGCCTTCGCCCTTTGGCTAATGAAAGCCAAGCTGGCGGGAAGGGAGGAACAAAGCTTCCTCGCTGGAGGAAGCCAGAGAGCTGCTCCATTGTTCTCCAAGCCTGAACAGTCCGAGGAAAAAATCTAGAGCCAGCCCGGGAATCGTGTTTTCTTTCTGTAGAGCCCCTGTGCTCAGACAGGGATACATGGAGGATGTGCCTTACAAGGCTGCTGCTGTGCCTTGGAAGCCGGCACCGGTAGTACAGGACCTGCGGGAGATCGGCTGCTAGCCACCTTAAGTGTACAGACTTGTTGCAGTGGATGTGGGTCCTCAGATGTCAGAGCCCAGGGACCCCATCTTCCTGGGTACCTTGTAGGCTGGTACCGGCTCTGCTGGGGGCTGGGAAGGGGCGTGTCATGAGCGTGTGAAAGGGCGGGGCCAAGAGGAGGGTGGCGGTCCAAGTGACCATGTTGATGGAGAGAGAAGCTAGTGCTGGCCCAAGGCCCCTGGAGAATGCTGAAGGAAACCTGTTCAGCCTGCTGCAGTTTTCCTGAGAAAACTGAGAAATCCCCGCCTGTGAGGGTCTGGTGAAAAGGATTCTGCCTCTGACACAGATGCTCTTGCAGGGGCAGTCAGTAGACTGGACAAGGGCAAAGGGGGAAAAACAGCCTTGTGCCTTTAGGCTGCCCCCCAGATTCGGTTTGACAGTGGAAAGGAGGGGTGGGGTGGCGTGTGTAGAAGTGACAGGCAGAAGTGCCACCCTATTGCCTGTTGAGCCTATCAGAGATCCTGCCCTCAAGGAACTTGTCATTCAATGGGCTTAGACAGACAATAAAGAAAACAACACTAGACACCAGGAGGGCTGTGTGGGGGAAGAAAACTGGACTGGGGTCTAGAGGGGCACTGAGAAGGGAGGCCTATCTTAGGCCTCACTGAAGGAGGGGACCATGGAATTGGGCCTTGAAACATGGGGCTATCTCGGAATGAATGAACATAGTCTAAAGGGGTTGAGGGGGAAAGGGCCTTCATATACCTTGGGCAGGGGAAGACGAGAGTTGGAGTAGAGGGCACAACCCCATTTTCAAGGTCAGGGCTTCCTCTGTTTGGGGTAGGTTAGTTAATCTAGCCCTCCCTAGTCAAGGCATTTTCCACACTGCCCATCAAAGGCCTCTTAGCTGCTTCTCAAGAAGGGTCACCACAGAAACTCTGAAAGATGGCCCTAGAGCTGACTAGGGGCAGGAGAGGAAGAGAAGTTGGGCTGAGGTCCCTTATTCCTGCCTAGCTGTCAGTTCCTGGTCACTTAACAAATTACGGGGTGACCAGGGACCTCCTCCCTTTCTAGTTGGTCAGATGCTGGGCCAAAGGCAAGAGCCTGCTGCCTGAGCTGAAACAACCCATTTATTCATGAGTCCTCAATTACAGCTCTTTGTGGAAGACCTAAGAGGAGGAAGAGCCCACAGGTGTGGAGGGGTCTGATGAAGGTGTGTTTACTGGCCCTCGGCCAGCAGAGCCATTCTAATGACCTCAGAGAGAGCTACGGATCTCCGCTCTTAGGTGGAGGAGAGAGGTGGGAAGTCTGCAGGGCTTGCCGTGTTGCCTCTAGATGAGAAGACCAAAATATGGTGGCATCCAGTCCCAGAATACACTGTCTGGAATCAGATGATAGGAGGCAGTTGACGACTCTAGGCCAAGCCTTTTTCCTGTGTGAAGATGAGGTAGAGAGGGCCAGGAGGAGGAAGGGAGAAGGTGGAGCCTGTACAAGTATATGCCCAGGGTCAGGAAAGGCCCTTGATGTGTAGCAGGGCTGCATCTGGGGACAAGACTGCTATGATGTCTCCCCATGGCTAAAGTCATGGGTTTTTTTCCTGCCCTTGAGGCCCAGTGTCAGCTTATGCACATTCCCTGGTACCATCTCAGACCCAACTTAACAGGCAAAGGGCAGGGAGCTGGGGCAGCCTCAAATAGGAGCCTTTCTGGAATAAAACGGAAGAACTGAAACCTGGTCATCCCTTTCCCGTCTCAGCTGGGGCCCAGATGATCTAAACAGGCTCTCTGTCCCTGCCCTAGCTAAGCGCCGCCCCCCCCCCCCCCCCGCAAGAGTGCTGGAAGCATAGAACGCTGAGGGCCAGTCTCAGGGGAAATAGGCCAACTCTAGTACCTTAGCTCGATACTCCATGAGATAGTTTTGATTCTGGAGGAAGGGCACTAGGCCAGCTCTGGGGCAAAGCAGAAAGTGATAATTCCCCAAATCTTTGTCCAGAAGTCCTAAGTTCTGGCTCCTCCTCTAGGGCTCAGTTTCTCCATATATGAGTGGAAGAGACCCCTCCCATGGCTCATCCTGTAAGGTCAAAGGCAGAGATTGATTAGACCTTGTAAACATCCTGGGTAGATCAAAGAACACTTTTATTAACACAGAGAAGTTAAAATTACAGTTACACTCCAAGTCAGCTCATCAGTGCTTCATCTAAAGATTAAAGCAGTCAGTTTGTTGACTCCCCAAATGTTCACCCTTCCAGGAAAAGACTGGACGGAATAAAACAATTAAGATGGCCCAAGGTCAGGGTGAGAAAGAACCCAGGTCTCGGCGTTCATAGTCCCACTTCTTCACAGAAGGTGTCTGGCATCCATGGATGGGTTACCATGGTAACAGTTCTCTACCCTCAGAAGCACCGACCAAATACAATTAAGGAGGAAAGGCAGGAAGCTATCCATTTCTAAGGCACTGGGGCATTGGGGAGGAAGGCTGGGAAAGGGTTGCTTCGGAGAATGCACTCTGGACTTGTATCGAGTGCTGCGATGTGGGATGACCTCGTTTCCCAAGCACTTCTTACCATCCTTCCTCCTCTGCCTTGGTGGAGAGTGGACACATGATTCTAGATAACTTGCCCTGAGCAGGGCATGTGTGTGTGTGTGTGTGTGTGTGTGTGTGTGTGTGTGTGTGTGCGCGCGCGCGCCCTTCCCTGAAGAGTGGCATTTGGCTAGAAGGGAGTTTTGGAATCACAGGTTGATGGTTTGTGACAGCATGCTGGGCCAGCCAGTGAATGTGCTCATGTGGAATAGGAGGTGACACAGGACCTTAGGGCTCCTGCCTTCCACCGAGCAGACCATTTCTTCCCCTGCCACTTTCAGGATGGCTTCATCCAAGGCTAGGCTTGGGTCTCCACCCAAGTGTGGACAGGGTGTTCTGCTGCTCCTCATGTCGAGGCTGAAGCTGGTCTCCTCACAAGACAACCTGGGTTCTGTATCTCAGAGGGAAAGAGCTGGATGTGTGGGTTTTAGGGGTAAACTCTCTACCTTGGGTAGAAGGTTCGAGAAGGAGCAGGGGTGCCCAGAGCTGCTCTGACTCCCCCAAAACATGTCCAGGATGATGTTCTACCCATGACTGACTGATTCCCAAGCCCAGAGACCACAGGCATTTCTAGGCTTAAACAGGACTAAGCCATCTGGGACCCTGACAGGTGTTTCCTGATACTTTCTTCTTGTTTTATTTCTCTCTGTCCTGTGCCCAATCTGCTTCTGGTACTGTAATCAGCCTCTCTCTACCCCCTATCCCAAGCTGCCCAACCAGTTTCTCCTCTCCTGCTGCCTTCAGTCTTGCCCCTCTCCAATACATTCATTTCTAGTTCTCCACGCTCTAGCCCCAGGGCTCAGGATGATGCAGGGGGATTCCTGGAGCTTGAGTCCCTAAGGTACACAGCTACAGTTCAGCATCCGACTGCTGCTGCTCTGCCGCCTTTGCACCACACTGCGGCGTCTCCCTGGACAGGCAAGGGTGAGATGCCCTCCTCTCTACAGCTTGCTCAGCCTTCCCTGGGGTTTCTTAGAACCAAAGAGTGGAAATTGTCAAGATGAGCCGCCCACTAAACGCTGAAATTAATCCCTCCGTGGCATCAGAGGCAGGTGGGTGTTCTGTTTACACTCTCCTGGTAACAGAGGGCTCACTACCTTATTTTCCTGGAAAGCGTTCACTGTCGGAAGGTCCCCTATCCCCTCTCTCTTCTTTCTGTTGAACAAAGATTCTGTCTTCTGAGAGTTTCTTCTGTGGTGCACATTTGCTCTTTGGATCCTTACAGATGAAGGGAGGCCACATCTCACAGAAGTTAGATGCCTGTCTGAGCTTCATCTCATCTCTCCTCCCTTCACCCTATCTTTTCATGTTTCTTGCCAGAGTCTTTTTTCCCTTTATTATTATTTTTTTAAATATGACTTCGTGGAGGAGTCTGACCTATATGCACCTGGTTCCCAGGCCTGATAGTGCCTCTCTTCCACCTGGATCACATTCCTGGCTCGGCATACTATTTACATCTTAAAATGAATCCCTGCTGAGGATCCAT